GTGAGAAAGGTCAGCTGCATGTCAGGTGAAACACAGCCGCAGATTTCCTGTTTCCATTTTTGGTAAATAAATGTATTTTTAATTTTTTTTAAAAATGGGGGCCCTTCATATAGGTTATCTATTGAATTGTGACAAAAGTGTGGAGGGAAGATATTTTGATTTTGATTTTACAAATCTGGAAACCAAGTCTCCGGGAAGGAAAAACTAGCCTCACGTCGCCCGGCTGGGAAGAGCAGGGCTGGCGTCAGCCCCGGGCAGGTTCCAGAGCCGGGGTCTGCACCTTCCTCCCCACCTCAGTGACCCTCTCGTAACTTCTCCATGTTTGGTGTTTTTCCTTCTGCCTCTCAGTCTCTCTGGCACTGTTGGCAGCAAGAGCTCTAAAACAAAAGGGTCTGTGTTCTTGTCTCTCTCTGAGTCTCTGGGCCCCTCCTATGCCAGGATTATGCCTACACTTCTGTTTATAGCCCCTGCACTTGCCTCTGTGTTTAGCACATACTAGGTGCTCAAGTAATGTTGGATGACAACCCCACCACCTGAGAGGCCCCCTCCCACACCTGATCTATACTGCCCCTGGTATCCTCAGGTCCCCACCATCCAGTACCATGACACTTGGTCACATGGGACTGATTTAGAACCACACAGGGACAGTTTTTTCTTCCCAAGCAGTTCAGCGAGCACTTATGTTTCTGTGTTCTAGCAGGGGTCCACCTTGAGGGAAAAGCAACCTTGAGAACCAGCAGGTGGCCAAGAGACCAAGCCTCACCTCTCTGACGGGTGCTCTAGGGTCCCTGCAGCATTTCTCTTTCTCGTGTGTGATTTATCGTTCAAGCCTGTCTGCCTTTTCAGTGCCCCTTTTGTTGCCCCCTGAGTGCCCCCCCCCCCAGAGAGAGCGTTGCACTTGGTTTCCCAGCAGCTGAGACAAGCCACAGAGCAAGGTAAAGCTGTCAACTGCGCCACTCTACAGCACTTTGGGTGGATTTAAATGTGCTTTCTCAAAGGCGGACCCACATGAAAAACGAGGGAGGGGAAGGTTGGGTTTGGGCTGCTGGCCTGGAGGAGCCTCCGCGGGGCCCCACGCTGCCCTGGGAAGAAGGGATTTACCACGGATCCAGACCCTCCTGGAATGTCTCTGTCGGGAGAAATTCTACACCCTGCTCAGCTGCTTGCCGGTAACTTGTGGCTAGACTGGAGCATGTCAGCTGAACCGGAGCCAAAGGCACTGTGGTTTCCTGGGGTCACAACCGCTCTGCGCTCGCAGAAAGCCGAGCAAAGTGTTCTGGCTCTGTCGGCACGCACTGCATCTGGGCTTCATTGAGATTTCACGAGGCTGGAAACACAGCTGCCCCTCCTCCCCCAGCGTGGCCAAACCCAAACACAAGGGTGTAAAGAATGTGCTCACTCACTCATCTCCCTGGGCAACACCCCCCTCATCCCCAAGCAAACATGAGGACAGAGCGTTAAACCCCGTCCCTGTCACTCTGGAAGTTTGGTCTGAGTTCCCTCCACCTCCCCTTTCACTGCCCTTCCGCCTCCTGGCACCCCCTTCCCATGGCCCAGTCCATGGCCCCATCTCTGGCCTTCAGTGCCCTCACCTATGAAGTAGAAACCGTAACATCTATCTCTCAAGGTGATGAGTCAAATAAAATAATGGAAATGACAGTGATTTCTAAATCATAAATCAGGGTCAGCAAATTAAGACCTGTTTGTGTGTGGCCCATGGGCTAAGAAGAGTTTTGACATTTTAAAATGGTTGCCAAAAAGCCCAAGAAAAATGTTTCGTGACCCGAGACAATGATAGAAAATTCAAATTCCAGTGTCTATCAATAAAGTTTTATTGGAACAGAGCCTGACCATGATTTGCTCACATGCTGTCTACAGCGGCTATTGCTACAGGGGCAGAGTTGAATAGTTGCTACGGAGACCTATAGGCTCACAAAGCCTAAAATATTTACTGTCTGGCCCATCCCTTGTAAAGGGCTGCAGAAATCATTCTTCTCATCTCACCTACTCTTCTCCATCAGAACCTGCTCCCAGGATGAAGTCTGTTGAATATTGGAAGGAGTTGAATGATCCACTTCACAAATCAATGGTAATTGAAAGTTGAAAGACATTTTAGAAATTAGCAGAAAGTTAAAACCCTTAAAGGAAAGCTCTCAGATGATGAGACTTCAGACAATAGTTGGGGGGAATATTTAGGGTGAGAGCTTTAAGTGACGTGTAAGCAGCTGCCTGTTAGAATTTGCACACACATATTCATGTGATCAAAGAGCCTGGCAGAGAGAAATCACTTCATGAAAAACATGCCTTCATTGGAAAATTCTAGCAGTACCTCTAATTAACTTCAGGGTATCTGGACTTGGTTGATACATATTAATTAAATTTAAAACGACTCCTGGTTAGTGATGTTTCGAGCCTCCGGATTCTGTTGTTTGGACCTGCACCTGCTGGCCTTTACCTGGGCCTCCTGTTCACCCTCCCGGCCCAGTGCAGACCCCTCTCCTGGGCTCCAGATGCACAGAGCCAGTCGCCTGCTGGCATCTCTCTACACCCCATTCCCCCAGCACCTCAATCCTACCTCCAGGATAGCTCTCCTCATCACTGCCCCCTACACTGGAACTGTACCTCAATGGATCGCAGCACCTACCTTGGTGTCTGTGCCATACACCCTGACTCCTTCCTCCCTCCCAACCAATCCCCAAGATGTCTTCATTCTGTCTCCCTGCCACCCTGCAGAACCAACTCCAGACCCTGCACGGGGCAGCAGCACTCCGGCCCTGTTCCGGTCCACTCGCCTCACGGCTGCCAGAGCAAATCTTGTGCTCCCAGCCTTCTGCAGTCCCCCAGCGCCCGATCCTTTAGTGTAGCATATAAAGCCCTGATAATCCAGCCCTGCCCACCCTTCTGACCTTTGCTTTTCCTGCTTCTTGCCTTGAAGTATAAATTCAGTAGAGCTGAGCCACTTAAAGAATCCCAAAGACCATGCTTCCTCTCTCAGGGACTAACCCAACTCCAGAATCCAGCTCGGGTGCCCCTTCCTCCAGGAAGGCTTCCCTGATAACTCCTGGGCTGAGTGAGGGGCTCCTCCTAGAGCCCTTTATACATTTATTTACTCCATCATTCTCATCTGTTTTTCTGCCTCTCCCAATGATTGCAGAAGTCCCTACACTGTCCCTAAGGAACTGGGACATTGTCTGGCAAATAATAAGGGCTCAATAAATGTTGGTGGAATGAACAAAGGGAAGGAGGAAAGAAATCATGCCTCAAGGTCAGGATGTCATGCTGTGCATCTTGGTTTCCCAGGTCTGGCATCACAGTTTCTCTCTGCTCACTCCAGTTTCTCGAGCACACATTCATGTCTGTTATAAAGTGGGAAGCTCTCTTCAGCCCAAGGGATAACCTCCAAGTCTAAACCCATTCAAGTAGAAAAAAGCAAGTGCACCCTGGCCGGTATGGCTCAGCAGTAGAGCATCAGCCCGTGGGCCAATGAGTCACAGGTTCAATTCCAGTCAAGGGCATGTACCTCAGTTGTGGTTTGTCCCTGGCCCTGGTCGGGCTCGTGTGGGAGGCAACCAGTTGATGTGTCCCTCTCATGTTGATGCTTCTCTCTCCCTTTCTCTCCTTCCCACTCTGTCTGAAAATAAATAGAAAAATATCCTCAGGTGAGGATTAAAAAAAAAAAAGCAAGTGCCTTAGAGCCTCCCTATGCAAAGTGCAGTCCCAGACCTACAGCCTCAGCATCACCTGGGAGCTTATTAGGAATGCAAATTAGTGGGCCCTGCCCCAGCCTCCTGATCAGAATCTGGAGTGGGTTGGAGGGCAGTCTGTTTTATAAGCCCTCCAGGTTTGAGCAATCAAGGTCAGGCCCTGATAGCGCTGAGCTGAGCACTCTGTACATGTATCATCTCATTTAATCCTCACAACAGCACTGCCAAGTGGGTGGTATTACAATTGCCCCCATTTTACAGGAGAGCACACTGAGGTCACTCAATAACTTCGGTAGCTGGCAGTCTGCATCCAAAGCCTGCACCTCTTACACCATCTGCCTCAGCCATAAAGAGATGTTAGCAGATTCTGATCACGAAGTGGAAATTACCAGACTAAAATGACCAATCTCCCACTGGACAGTCCCGCACAGTGGACGCTCAAAAACTGAACCCTGCCCAACCATCAGTGCTGGTGTGCCACCTGGGTTCCCCACCCCCGAGTCCGTCCCCTCGGCCCCTGGTCTCATTTCCTTCTTAGTTCTTTGTGCGCATGTGTGTGTGTGTGCGCGTTTGTGAGTGGGGGTGTCATGGCATCGGCAGGTGGTTTCCAGCTGCGTGTGTCTTTTGGACAAGTTGCTTAACTTCCCGAGGCCTCAGTGTCCTCAGCGAGTGGGTTAGATGGCTCCCGTGTTCCTCCCAGCCCTAAAACTGCTTCATGCCACACAACACTGTCCCTGCCCCACCCGACTTTCCACGGCCCCCAGTGGCCCTGGAGCCTTCAAGGACTGAGGGAGTTTTCTGTTCACCTCAGCCAAGCACAAGTCAGAGGACAGTGAGACCCACAGTGGACTAAAGTAAATGCATTCTTATTCCCAACGCAGACATCTCACAGACACTGGGACCATCGTTAGCTTTGATTCAAATACCCCGAGAAGAAGCAGTTTTGCCGAAATGCATCTGCTCACCTAAAACAGTCTCCCAGATGTTCGGAGCCGTGACAAAGGACAGGAGAGTGTAGACCTGCCCGGCCCCTGGTCAGCAGGACGAGGAGAGACCACAGGTGTTATATCCCACCCGCCCCCCGGCTACGAGCGCAGGGAGCACCCATCCAGACTGGAGAAGCCCCTGCTCCGGGGTGTCCCATGGCCAGAAGCAGGCACCACTGCCCAGCGAGGGCCTTGACGTGTGTGACCCGGCCAGCGTCACAGCCGCCAGGCCAATCTGGAGAAGCCTCCTGCACCCAGGAGGCTAGGCAGCCCCAGGAAGGAAGAGCCCATGAAGCTGCACAGTACTCACCAAATGTATGAGAGGTCCTTCTCCCCGTGGCTGAGGGCTGGCGTGTCTTTGGCATAAATACCAGAGCAATATAAAACCCCAGAGGCGGATCTTCTTTAAACAGAGTCCCTAAAAAGGCCAGCTGACGGTGTGTTAGCAATATTACCATATAAGGTGTTTTTTTTCAATAAATCGGCCTTGGGGGGTGGGGAAAGGGGGTTGGGTAGAGTGAATTATCGTTTGAAAAATGTATGCAAAAGGACTTGAGTGGCAACATCCCTGGTGCTGGTGGATTTGTTCCTTTTATGCTGTACTCCCATAAACAAAACTCACACCAGGCCTTATAAGCTGCCCAGAGCGAGGCCAGATACAGGTCAGCTTCTGGAGAGAGAACCATACCAAGAATGGCAGTGGGCCTCTCGCTCCATGCCTTCCTCCTCAGGCCCCGGTGCCTGTCATCCTGGGTCGGCCTGGGACACCCATGCATGTCCCCAAAGTGGGTGCACTTGTGCCTGGTCCGGTGCAAGCCCAGGACAGCTAAAAGCGGAAGAGAAATGCCATCCACGCCTGGGAAAGAAATCCCTGGGTCCTCCTCACCTGCTGTCCCCCAGACAAGCTCCTAAACCAGGCCTAAGTCACCTGGGGTCCCAGGACACCTTCAGCTGCTCTGGAACTTTGTTTCTCTTACCTTCCACCTTTCCTGACTGGATTCCCTCCACCAGCCCCTAAATATTGGGAATTACAGACCGAGGGAGCTGCCTGAGGGCCGAGGCACACCTAACAAGACTCACAAGCTTGTAGAATTTTCTCCACTCCTGTGGTTCTTGCTTTTTTTCTTTTCTCACAAGTCCTGCACTCTCCCCAGGTAGCTGTTGCATTCCCCACTCCATCAGCTACCAGCTCTGGGGCATCACCTTCACCTCTACATGCCTGCAGTCCCAGTACCTCAGGCGCCCCCAGACTGAAATACTACTGCCCACTGCACATCCCCACACGGAGGACCCTCACTCCTGAACCCTGCCCTACCGCCAGTGCCGGTGCCCTCCTGGTTCCCCGCCAAGTCCCTTCCCTCCGCCCTGAAGGCTGGAAACCTCCAAGTCAGTCTGACTTCTTTCTCCCCCTCGGTCTTCACAACCACCTGGGCAGCTTCCCTGGTGCCCCTCCTCTCAGAAATGCCTCTCACTCTGCGTCCCCTTCTGGCCCTTCTGATCCCTCCCTGCCGGCCTTGTCCTGCTTCAAGCTCCGGTCCTGTCTGTGCTGGGGCCACCATAGCTCCCTGACTCTGCCTCATCTTCAAACCCAGACGTTCCCAAAGTGTGGTCCCCAGGCCCACTGGAAGGCAGCATCGGCATGACCTGGGACATGTTGGAGATACAGATCCTAAGGCCACACCCAGACGGATGGAATCAGAAATCCTGGGGATAGGGCTCAGCTGTCTGCGTCACAAACCTGCCCCCACCCAGGGGCCCAGGATAGCTAACTGGAAGGAGCATGCATTGAGCCTGCGTAAGGAGTCTTGGGACCCCAGGGGACTCAGCCAGGGCTTGGGAGCTTGTGTGAGGGGCAACAGGGGATTTCTTCTCCAGGTGGGGATGGTTTTTAGCTGTCCTGGCCTTGCACCAGAGCAGGCACAACTGCACCCACATTGGGGACACAGCATGGGGGTTCTGGCTGGTTTCTGGTGTCCTGGAGCAATGACTTGGTGAGGACTGAGGAGGGCAGAGGTGTGGATAAGGGGTGCCCGCTGCTGAGAGAGCCCAGAGGAAGGATCAGGGAAGGCTCTACATGAGGGCCGGTGCTTGTTCCCTCAGAGAAGGGCACTGTAGCTTCATGATGTGTTCTTCCTCATCTTTGACCACTGCCTCGGGGGAAGCTTCCCTCAGCCTGGCAGGTCTTTGGGAAAGCCCTCACGTGGTTGCGGCTAAGCAGCTGCTGAGGTGGAGCTGTCCAGCAGGGACAGAGTGCTATCTGGCCTGACTGGCGACTGGCGGAGGCCACTAAGAGCCAGTGCCCTGATCATGAGCTCTTCCTCCCCCCACATCTCCCTCCTTGGGTGGGGACAGGGTGCCAGTCTCCCTTGCCCTGATCCGGGACCTAGAGGGGTGTTTCCCTTCACTGTGCCAGGGTTGGCTCCACTCCCTTGTAACCATTCAGGTCTGGGGCCAGAAGGACATTCACACCTTGGTTGGTACAATCAGCTGATAAACAATAAAGGGCCTGTAATCAAAGGGGAATGGTTGTGATTCAGGGTCCACAGAGCTCAGCGATCAGAAAGGAAGGCTGTCGGAATAAGCGGAAACCTTAGGGGGCTTAGGGAGGGGAGTCCTCCTTGTCTTTGATGGGGAGAGGGCGGTGGGGAAGCGGCAGGCTAAGCCAGGTGCCAGCGTGCTCTCTCTCTCTTTTTTTTATTTCTAGGACGAAAAATATAACTCACCCTTAACATTTCTTTCTTTGTGTTTTTATTTCCTGGTTTTAAATATCAATGCAAAAAATTCAAAGAACACAGAAATAGTTATTTTAGAAAGCAAACCTTTGCTACCTCACACAGACCTGAGTCCGAGATGGCTGCCGTTAACAGTACGATGGGCATTCTTTCCGATTTTTTCTATCATTTTGACATTACTTTCTACGTAATATATGTATATTACTTTATAAAATGGGATTATGTTATAACATATGTTTTTACAACTGTTCTGAAACTTGCCATGTTCTCTTAATAATACTCTTGGATGTCTTTCCAAGTCAGTTTATATAATTTTTAAAACCCTATCATAGTTTTCTATAATAGGGATATACCATAAATTATTTAACCAACATCCTTTTCATGGACTCTTAGGTCACTTCTAATTTTTTACTTATGCAAACATTGCTACAATGAATGAAATTTTACATGTGCCTTTGTGTATGTGTGAGTATATCTCTATGGTAAATTAAAGTGAAATGGTTTGTTAAAGCAAGAACGTTTGAAATAGTAACTGCCTAATTGTCCTCCAAAAAGGTTGCGTGAGGTTCCAGTCCTGCCAGTACAGATGGTCTGAGACCATCTCCTTCTTCACACGCTTCAGACACTGAGCACAATGTTTTCTGTCCAGTACATTTGTTGATTATATTTGGAAACATGTTAATTTTTATGACTCATCACCTAAGAATTGTTTAACATTTTTCCTGATAATAAAAGTAATACACGCAACAGATTTTTAAAAAGAGAAATATGAAAATAGGTGACAACTGAGCCACTGTGCTCAGCTGGCTCTCCTTGTGCCCGAAAGAACCATGTGCAATGATGGCAATTATCCATCTTTTCAATCTTTCCTAATCTGAAAGGAGACATTTAGCATCTTCTTATTTTAAAATTAAAATTTTAAGTTATTTGGTAACTCATTAGGATGAACATGCTTGGCTTTTATGAACTTATATTTTATTTGGTCTTTCCCTGAGAGTAGAGTGGCTGGTTCATTTTTCCCTTAGATTGTTCACCCATTCCTTCCAGAGTAATAAGCATTTTGGTATTTTACATCAGTGATACTATTAGCCTTTGGCCTGTTACAGGGTTGTAGGTCTTCTCCCCTCTGCCCCCTCCACCAGTTTAACAGTTGCTTTTTTATTTTGTCTGGTAGCATTTGCCTTATTAAAGTTTAATCAAATGTCTTTCCATTTTAGTGTCTGTTTCATAACATCCTTAAGAAAACTGAACACTTTTAAAAAAAATCTTCACCCGAGGATATTTTTACATTTAGCTTTAGACAGAGTGGGAGGGGGAGAGAGAGAGAGAAACATCCACGTGAGAGAGACACATCGACTGGCTGCCACCCACACCACCCCAACCCGGGCTGGGGACATACCTCAGTTGCAGTTTGTCCCCTTGGCTGGAATTGAACCCGGGACTCCCTGGTCCACAGGCTGACACTCTAACAGCTGAGCCAAACCAGCCAGGGTTGAACACTTCTTTTTTAATTGTGGTAAAATACACGTAAAATTTATTATCTTAACCATTGTAAGTATACAGTTTAGTAGTGCTGAGTATATTCACTTTGTTGTGCAATATACAGAACTTTTTATCTTAAAAAATTGATACTCTGGTGGGCAAACAATACAATATACAGATGCTGTATCATGGACTTGTACATTTGAAACCTATATAATCTTATTAACCAATGTCATCATAATACATTTAAAAATAAAATTCTAATACCCAATGCATTAAAAAATAGATACTCTGTATCCATTGAACAATATTACCACTTCCCTCCTCTTCCTAGCCCCTAGCCAATATCATTCTACTTTCCATCTTTATGCATTTGACTTCTTTCAATCCTTCATAAAAGTCTTTTTGAGACTGGCTTATTTTACTTAGCATAATGTCCTCATGATTCATTCATGTTGTAGTATATTTCAGAATTTATTTTCTTTTTAAGCCTGAATAGTATTCATGTGTATGTGTGTGTGTGTGTGTGTGTGTGCATGTGTGTGTCCACATTTTGTTTATCCATTCATCCATTTAGGGACACTGGGTTATGTATACCTCTTGGTTGTTGTGAATAATGCTGCAGTAAGCATGGGTGTACAAATATCTCTTCGAGACCCTAATTTCAATTCTTTTAGGCACATATTCTAAAGTGCAATTGCTAAATCCTGTGGCAATTTTATTTTTAATGTTTTGGGGAACACACATACTGTTTTCCACATCTACTACACCATTATACATTCCTACCAATGTGCACAAGGGCTCCAATTTCTCCACATCCTTAACAACACTTGTTATTTTATGTGTTGTTGTGTTTTTAAATAGTAGACATCCTAATGGATGTGAGGTGGTTTTTAAAAATTAAATAGATTTTATTTTAGTTTAGTTTTTATTTTATTTTCTTATCCTTACCTGAGGACATTTTTGCATTTATCTTCAGATAGAGCAGGAGGGAGAGAGGGGGAAACAGAGAGAAAGAGAAAGAGAGAGAGAGAGAGGAACATCAACATGAGAGAGAGAGAGAGAGAGAGAGAGAGAGAGGAACATCAACATGAGAGAGATAGAGAGAGAGAGAGGAACATCAACATGAGAGAGAGAGAGAGAGAGAGAGAGAGAGAGAGAGAGGAACATCAACATGAGAGAGAGAGAGGAACATCAACATGAGAGAGAGAGAGAGAGAGAGAGAGAGGAACATCAACATGAGAGAGAGAGAGAGAGAGAGGAACATCAACATGAGAGAGGAGAGAGAGAGAGAGGAACATCAACATGAGAGAGATAGAGAGAGAGAGAGGAACATCAACATGAGAGAGAGGAACATCAACATGAGAGAGAGAGAGAGAGGAACATCAACATGAGAGAGAGAGAGAGAGAGAGAGAGGAACATCAACATGAGAGAGAGAGAGGAACATCAACATGAGAGAGAGAGAGAGAGGAACATCAACATGAGAGAGAGAGAGAGAGAGAGAGGAGAGGAGAGAGAGAGAGGAACATCAACATGAGAGAGAGAGAGAGAGAGAGAGAGAGGAACATCAACATGAGAGAGAGAGAGGAACATCAACATGAGAGAGAGAGAGGAACATCAACATGAGAGAGAGAGAGAGAGGAACATCAACATGAGAGAGACACGATGACTGGTTGCCACCAACACAACCCCACCCAGGGCTGAGGACAAACTGCAACCGAGGTACATGCCCTTAGCGGGAACCGAACCTGGGACTCTCTGGTCCGTGGGCCGACACTCTAACTGCTAAGCCAAACAGGCCAGGGCTAGATTTTATTTTTTAAAGTAATTTTAGGTTCCCAGCAAAACTGAGCAGAATGTATAGATTTCCCATATACCCCCTACTCCTCGCCCTTGGATGCATAGCCTCCCTCACTATCAACATCCCCAACCAGAGTAGTACACTTTTTACAATCCATGAACCTATCACTCAAAGTCTATGGTTCACATTACGGTTCACTCTTGGCGCTGTACATTCCACAGGTTTTGACAAGTGAAAAATGATGTGTATCCATCATTATAGTATCATACAGGGTAGTTCTACTGTTATAAAAATCCTCTCTGCTCCACCTATTCAGCCCTCCCCACTCAAACCAACCCCAGGCAATCACTGATCTTTTACTGTCTCCATAGTTTTTACTTTTCCAGAATGTCATGTAGTTGGAATTGTATAGTATGTAGCCTTTTCAGCTTGATTTAATAATATGCATTTAAGTTTTCTTCATGTCTTTTTATGGTTTGATAGCTCATTTCTTTTTAGTGCTGAATAATACTCCATTATTTGTATGTACCATAATTTACTAATCTATTCACCTATTGAAGGGCGTGCATCTTAGCTGCTCCCAAAGAGCGCAGTTCCTGGATCACATGGTGACAGTATGTTTAGTTTTGTAAGAAATTTCCAGACTGTTTTGCAAAGTGCCTGTACCATTGTGTTCCCCCAGCAATGAATGAGAGTTTCTGTTATTCCACATTGTGGTTTTGGTTTGCATTTGAGTACTTTTTAATATCAAAAAACTCTCCCAGCCCTGGCTGGTTTGGCTCAGCGGTTAGAGCGTCGGCCTGCGGTCCAGAGAGATTTGGGTTCGGTTCCCGCTAAGGGCACGTGCCTCGGTTGCAGTTTGTCCCCGGCCCTGGTTGGTCGTGTGGGTGGCAGCCACTCGGTGTGTCCCTTTCACACCAATGTTTCTCTCTCTCTCTCTCTCTCTCTCTCTCTCTCTCTTCCTCTCTCTCCCTCCCACTCTATCTGAACAAAAAGTGGAGAAATATCCTCAGGTGAGGAAAAAAAAAAACCCCACAAAACTCTCCCGAGTGTGTGTCCGAGGATTTGCCTCTGGAGCCACAGATGGTTTGGTGAGCCCGTTAGTGCCCCTGCCAAGACATATCCCACTACTTGCGTCCCCCCAACACGTCTCTATTTGTAAGGAACGTGGCCAACGATACCAGGTCTGAAGATTTACGACGTGAATTTGGTCGTTATGGCCCTATAGTTGATGTGTATGTTCCATTTGATTTCTACACTCACCGTCCAAGAGGATTTGCATATGTTCAATTGAAAGATATTCATGATGCGGAAAATGCTTTACATAATTTGGACAGAAAATGGATTTGTGGTCGCCAAATTGAAATACAGTTTGCACAGGGGGATCGGAAAACTCCAAATCAGATGAAAGCCAAGGAGGGGAGAAATATGTACAGTTCTTCACGCTATGATGATTATGACAGATATAGACGTTCTAGAAGCCGAAGTTATGAAAGAAGGAGATCAAGATGATTTGTTACAACTATAGAAGATCTTATAGTCCTTTGATCTTATAGCTCCTTTGATTTGAAGATCTTATAGCTCCTTTGATTACAACTATAGAAGATCTTATAGTCCTAGAAACAGTAGACTGACTGGAAGACCACGGCATAGCAGAAGCCATTCCGACAATGATAGATTCAAACACCGAAATCGATCTTTTTCAAGACCTAAATCCAATTCAAGATCACGGTCCAAGTCCCAGCCCAAGAAAGAAATGAAGGCTAAATCACGTTCTAGGTCTGCATCTCACACCAAAACTAGAGGCACTTCTAAAACAGATTCCAAAACACATTATAAGTCTGCCTCAAGATATGAAAAGGAATCAAGGAAAAAAGAACCACCTAGATCCAAATCTCAGTCAAGATCACAGTCTAGGTCTAGGTCAAAATCTAGATCAAGGTCTTGGACTAGTCCCAAGTCCAGTGGCCACTGATAGTATAAACCATGATATTTTTAGGCATGTATCATTCATTTACTCATAGTTTGGTTTACTTAAATGATCAGGAATACAATGTTGCAATGATGCTTACAAAAACACTTGTCAGTTTTCCCTGTACCAGGCAATGGTTATAATTAAAATGATATGCTGTTGAGAAGCCACTCTTTTAAGAGTCCAGTTTGTTTAATGTTATGGGCAGCTACCAATTTGTGGTGTCTCTGTATATTTTTGTAAAGATTCTCATTTTTTATGCTTGAAGTATTGGTGGAAAGACGTTGGTTGACCATAATTTGCAACATTGTCTTATTAAAAATAAACTTTCATATCCATATTTGGTAGTAGACCTGTTGACCTAGAAATGTAGCTTGCTAATAAGATAGAATGATACAAAAGTGAAGTTGTAGCCACAGTACACTGAGTGATCAGACACATTTAGGTTCAGGGTGGACCTTTCTGTCTTGTCAAGATGTCTAGGCCCGTGATAATAGTTAATTTATGAAACAGTGTGGAATAGTTCTTTTCTTAACCCCACTGTCTTAGGGAATGATGCCAACTGAGTTATGTAGCATTTCCAGGGAGACTGAGTTTTTTATTGAAACATGGAGCCTTCACTGCTCCTCCCCCCCCCCCCCCCCCCCCGGTTTCTGTGAAGATTTAGAACATACAAACAAATATCAGAAAAGTCGCCTTAAAATTTGAGCAGGACAGTGACGACAGAAATAATTTTGAGGTGAAAAGAATGCTCTTATGTAGTTATTCTAAACTGTAAGGAACATTGTTGGCCGTAATAGCTTAGTTTTTGCTGCTGTTAAAAGCAAGTAAATTGTTTCACAGTAAGTTTGTGTGTGTGCATAGTGTAAAAGAACTGAATTTTGATGCTTGTTAGCACTCTGTGTGTGCATTTGTATCAAAATCTGCCTACCTCTTTATGAAGGAGGCTTGTTCTTCACACCTCAGTTTATTTAATGTGAGGCAGGTTGAAAGACAACACTCCCATTCTAGGTGATTCTGTGGTGCCATGAAATTTAAAAGAATTTTAGAAAAAGAATTGACTTTAAGTACAAGTCACATCTTTGAGTCTTTGATTATCAATATAGTACCTGACTAAAAAATAAGAAAAAATTCCCTTAACCATTTATAATTTCTAGCATTTCTCTGAGAGATCGTTTTAGGGACAATAGAAGTTACTTGATGTGTCCAGTCTCATTTCAGAATAAAAGCTAGCATCTTTAAAATTTTTAGATTGCTTGCTTGCAAATTATAAGTAAGAAATGTGGAAAAACGACTCCTTTTAGAGGATTGCTTTTTTCGATTTTGCTTTTAGTAATCTAGGCCTTGCCTATAAAGAACAAAAGGTGGTTTTTAAATACTGTTTGTGGAATGTGTTTAAAGGGTTGATTCTAGAACCTTTGTATATTTGATAGTATTTCTAACTCTCATTTCTTTACTGTTTTGCAGTTAATGTTCATGTTCTGCTATGTAATCATTTATATGCACGTTTCTTTAATTTTTTAGATTTTCCTGGATGTATAGTTTAAACAACAAAAAGTCTATTTAAAACTGTAGCAGTAGTTTGCAGTTCTAGCAAAGAGGAAAGTTGTGGGGTTAAACTGTATTTTTTTTCTTATAGAAGCTTCTAAAAAGGTATTTTTATATGTTCTTTTTAACTAATATTGTGTACAACCTTTAAAACATCAATGTTTAGATCAAAATAAGACCCAGCTTATTTTCTGCTTGCTGTAAATTAAGCAAACATGCTTTAATAAAAACAAAATGAAGGGGAAAAAAATTCTCCCAATTGACAGTTGTTGATCTTTTCATTTCTTCGAGGGAAGGAAATAGCAAATGTCAATTATTCAGAAACTCTTAAAAATAATTTTTTTGTTATTTTTGTCAAAATAGAAACTCATTTATTTTCTTCTGATTTAAAAGGAATGCTCATTCAAAATATTTCAGGGGGGTGAGTATGAAGTAGAGAATAAATACCCCCGTCATCTGGATAACCACATTTTTTAATACATGTACACATTTAGAAAATGGTATCTTATTGTACACACTACTTTATATATAATTTATTTCACTCTTCATTATCTTTCCTTTGTCACTAGAATGTCAGCTCCAGAAAAGCAGTGATTTCTTCTTTTTTGCCCACTGCCTAGAATAGGGTCTGAACATATGGGCACCCAATAAATATCTGCTAAATGAAGAAATACACAAGTTCCACTTTTATCACTTAAAAATGTCTTGGACTTTCTTTTTTCTGTGTCCATTTATATAGGGTTTCAACAGCATTTGTGTTATTGGCTGCATATATTTCAATGTATTTATTGAACCAGACTTGACTGCTCAGCTGTGTAAGTGGTTTCCAATTTTTCTCTATTATAAACAATACTGTAATTAGTGTGTTTTTACTGTGTTTGTGTACCTGGGATTATCTCAGAGCATTTCAAAAAGAGAAGTTTCTTAGTCAAGTAGAATGCACATTTTAATTATAAATCATTTTGCTAAGCTAAATGTCCAGAAAGTGATTGCAATTTATTCTCCCATTCAGGTATGCGAGTGTTCAGTTCCTTACAACCCAGCTAGAGAGCATCATATCTTTTAATCTTTGTAAGCTAATACATACAAATAGTGCTACGCTGGATTCTAATGTGCATTATTTTCTTATTACTGAGTTATGCGTCTTTTCTTATTTATTGTCCATTTGTATTTCTTCTTTAGTGAACTGTTTGTGGCTTTTGCATTTCTATGCACTTAATATTTTCTTATTGATTTACAATAGTTCTTTATATATTAAGATACTAATCTTTTTTTTTTTTTTTTGTATCTTCACCCAAGGACATTTTTCCATTTATGTTCAGATAGAGTGGGAAGAAGAGAGAGAGAGAGAGAGAGAGAGAGAGAGAGAGAGAGAGAGAGAGAGAGAGAGAAACATCGACGTGAAAGGGACACATCGAGTAGCTGCTTCCCATACAACCCCAACCAGGGCCGGGACGAATGGCAACCAAGGTACATGCCCTTGACCAGAATCAAACCCGTCTCTCATTGGTCCGTGGGCCGACACTCTAACCGTTGAGCCAAACCGGCCAGGGCATCATATTAACCTTCTGTATGTCATGAATTTTGCAAATATTTGTTCCTAGTTTGTCTTTTTCCCCCTTATTGTTGGCACTATTTTACCCCCCTTTGCCCATCTCCACCCAGCCCCCGCCTCACCCTGCCTGGTTTGTGATTTTTAAAAAACTATTTTCATAGTATCTTTTTCCAAACAGAAGTTTTAGTTATTTTTTTAATTGAGGGATAATGTACTTAACAGGAAAGTACACAAATTTTAAGTGTGTAATGCAACCTCTCCCAGTCAATAATTTTCCAAAGGTAATCACTACTCTATAAAGTTTTAAATTTTATCATAATAATAATCTGCTTTATCCTTCACAATATCTATCTTTAGAAATGCATTCCTTGACTCATAACTATGTAAATATTCATCTACATTTTATCCTGGAACTTTGATTACTTAATTTATTACATTGAAATCTCCAATCCAGCTGAAATGTATTCTAACATATTTTAAATCTATTCTAAACAATGAGATAGGGATCAAACTCTCCTGTCTTCTCTATTCCCTCAAGGGCTACTTCTCAACACCATTTATTAATTAGCCAATATCATTCGTAAATTAGTCATCACCATGTCCATGATTTGAAATATTGCCTCTTTCTACACTCTGCTGTCTTTTTTTATTTGTCTGTTTATTTATGCACCAGTATCTCACCATTATAAATATAGGTTTTAATATTTACTGAACTAAGTATTACATTATCACTTTCTTTCAAATATTTCTTGGTTATTATTGCTCATTTATTCTCCCAGAAAAACCTTAAAATCATTTTATGAAATTCTGTTACAACATCCCCTGAAAAAGTTGAGATGCTAATTGGATTTACATTGAATTTACATAGGAATTTAGAAAATATTAATATCTTTACATCATTTGACTTTCCATTTATTTAAAACTTTGTTTCTCAATAATATCTGTTTTCATCATACAGATCCTGCATTGTTCTGTTTTTTTAACTAGGTTTTTATATTTTTTGTTTCTACTATGTTAACTTTTTTGTTATATTTTCTAACTGATTACTCACCCATAGGAAATATATATTATCTAGTCATCTTGCTAAATTCATTAGTTTGACTTTTTTTTTTTTTTAGGTAGATAACATATCATCTGAAAATAATATTTATTTTAACCAATATCTCTACCTTTTATTTATTTTCTTATTTTTATGTCACTATTTATAACTTTTAGAACGACATTTTATGTTTTGCCCTTATGGCTGGCATCCTTGTCTTTAATCAGAATATCTCTCGTTGTTATTCTTAACCAATTTCCTACAACCCCTCCAGGTTCTAATTCGTTAAGTCTGAGATGATTCCCAGGCAGCTATGTTTTGTTAGTTACACAGATAATACTGAAGAATGTTCTCTCCCACCACACCACTGAGGACAATACTCTAGTGTGTCTCCATTAAATGGTATTCAATATAAGCATTATTTTTACTTTTTAAAAGTATTATTTTATTTTAGGTTCATTAAGAGTTATTAATTGGGCCCGGCCAGTGTGATTCAGTGGTTGAGCATCGACCCACGCACCAAGAGGTCGCCGGTTCGATTCCTGGTCAGGGCACATGCCCAGGTTGTGGGCCCGATCCCCAGTGGGGGGCACGCAGGAGGCGGCCAATCAACGTTCTCACTCACTGATTTCTCTATGTCTCTCCCTCTTCCTCTCTAAAAGCAATAAAGAAAAAAATTTTTTTAAACACCAAGAGTTATTCATTGGGAGTTGGATTTAATAAAAAGTCTTTCAGCCTCTCAGTGACCTCCTCTCGAGGATAAAATATAAAAAACGCCAGGGAATTGCCAACGCAAACAGGATGTGAAAGGACAGGTTTCTAGAGAGAGGAAAGTCATTTGGGTGAACCTGACATTCTAAGCCATTTTCCTCTTAAAACATCTTTCGATATTAAAGAAGCACAGGGCAGAGG